ACGAGAATTTACAACGATTACCTGAAGAGAAGCGGAATATGAAAACAGTTACTATATTCTCATCTCTTCCTTCAGAACAGCAAATGCGAGTTTTTGCACCTGCTCCTGCAGGTTTCCGTAAGTTATTTCCATGATTTTGTTTAATAATGTGTATAAACTGGTGATCTTCACAAATATTAATTACTGATGGGAATACAGTGTTCAATGTTGCCAGAATGAGAATCTCTGCAATTTAATGTGCTTACATTACTAAATTCATTTTTATCAGAATATTCTTATTATTGAAATGAGAATAGGGTAGCAATTGCATCAATTTCTCCAAACGCAATCTATGTTGAATACAAGTATGGATTTTACTGCTTGTATATTAACAAAATACAATATGACACAATTTTATCTTAATCGTGTCAATGCATTATTCTGTTTAGGTCATACTAGCAACTAATATTGCCGAGACATCAGTGACGATACCTGGAATTAAATATGTTGTAGATCCTGGAGTTGTAAAAGCACGTTCCTGTGATCCTGTCAAAGGGATGGAATCGTTGATTATTGTTCCAACATCAAAAGCACAAGCTATACAGAGAAGGTAGGGGAGAATGATAAACAAATTTTCTTTTATATTTTCATTTAACTTTTTGTTGATCTCATATTGAGTGGTTTTCAAGAAGGGTTAAGGGAGTGCTTGTTGCTAGTATTTTGTCTTAAACTGTGAATTTATTCTTCTTTTTGTGACCTCATTTCAATTTTTTCATGTGACCTCATTTCAATTTTTTCATGTTCCACTTATTTTGTATGGCCCTTTTCTCTTATGATTATAAGTGAAGGTACTTGGCATATGAGACAGTTAACATTATGTTTTCTAAAAATAATGACATTCTTTCTGTAGTGGACATGCAGGGCGTGAAGATCCTGGGAAGTGTTTCTGTCTCTACCCAGAGAGAGTATGAAAAGCTTGAGGATTCAACCAAGCTTGAGATTAAGCGGTGCAACCTCTCAAATGTCATTTTGCAGCACAAGGCCCTGGGTGTTGATGATATATTTGGGTTTGACTTCATAGAGAAACCCTCAAGGTGAATTTCTTTAGAGGTTAATTTCAGCTAATGTGTAGATTGCTTTTTCTCTTTATTATCATCTTATTTTTCCTTTTATTAAATGGTGTACGATGGTGAATGTCTCTTTTTCACATTGAACAAGAGCGGCTATTAAAAAATCATTGGAGGAGCTGATCTGGCTAGGTGCTTTAACCGATGAACTCAAATTGTCAGATCCTCTGTTGGTCATCAAATGGCTCAGCTACCATTAGATCCTGTTTATTCTAAAGCTCTCATCCTAGCTAGTTAGTTCAAGTGCCTAGACGAAATGCTAATTGCTGTTGCAATGCTTTCTGTAGAATCTATCTTTTACAAGCCATGTGAAAAGTTGGATGAGGTATGATGATGTACTACAAACTTTTATCATTTTCATGCATGTGGGCTTATGTTTTGCGTTAGTTCTATGTTCTTTTCTTCCAACTAATGATGAACATACATTAAATGCCTTTTTTTATTGGACAGGCAAGAATGGCAAAGAAATGCTTTGCAAGTTCTGAGGGAGACCATCTTACTTTGATTAATGTCTATCGAACACCTATTGAGTTATCGGAGAAGAGAAAGTCCGAGGCTGGCAAAGAAAAGCCTGAAAAAGTTCTTAGAAAGTGGTGCAAGTAAAACGTCATCAATAGCCGCTCTTTGCAACATGCCCATTACATCCACAGGTTGGATGCACACACGCATATTTAATTTGTTTAACTTTCTCTTTTTTCACGCACAGTAACACTATTCCATTAAAAACTCTCTTTCTTCAGACAGTAACACTCTTCGTTAAGCAACCTCTGTGGTAATGAATTGATAATTAGAATTTTGTTATTATGCCGTTTTTCTTGGCAATGTCTGAAAATGTCTAAGTATGCATCACTAAGTCTGTTAGGTGCTTCATTGCATTCAAATCCACCGACATGTTGAGCAGATGGGCCTTTGCATTTCATCTTGTGGAGACGACACACTTCAGTTCCGCAGATGCCTTGCTGCTGCTTTTTTCCTAAATGCGGATTTGAAGCAGCCTGATGGAACATACAGGTAAAAGCACACGAATCTAATTTTTTATAGCATTCGTCGTTGTTTCTTCTACTTGTTCTCCCCTTGCTTTAATTCTCTTTCAATCGTATTAGATCAGCATTTATTGTTTATCTAGTCATTCAATAGGTCCGTATGATAATTCCCTCACATTTACGTAACCAAATGGCAGGGCTTTGGCTAGTGGTGAGATGGTGGAGATCCACCCTTCTTCTGTGTTATTCCGAACAAAATCTGACTGCATCATGTTCAACGAGTTTGTCAAAACTACAAACAAGTACATCCGCAATATAACAATAATCAATGGATTTTGGTTGATGGAGTTAGCTCCCCACTATTATGCGAAGCAGTAGTAGTTATTTTATGAGCACTAACAGGTAATTTACTTTATTGCTTCATTTTTCAATCATGTTGTTGAAGCTCTAAATCAATTTCATTACACTTTTGTATTGGAACTGGTAAACTTGTGCTGTCTATTTTTCCAGATAAGGAGCAGAGGAAAAAAAAAGAACATGCTTACCAATGTCTGTAATAGAATGGTTCAATCTTATTTGTACCACCGTAATATCATGCCTAGGTTATGCAAATTCTTCATTTTTCTTGAAATACTCTGTCCAATTCCTAATCTTCTGTGCATATCAAGACATGTATGATAATACGATCATGCAAGGATCTTCCAAATTCATGAAAATCTTGGAGAAAAGTTGGATATACCGTGTTGAATACGTATGGCAATCCGTCACTCATACTCGAGTCCCAGTAACATAAATATATGTAATCTCTATATGTGTGTCTGCTTTTGATGTTTTAAAGATTTTGAATGGATATATTTTCTATTTAGCTTAAATGGTGGAACAATCCTTCTTTCCGTGTTTAATATCCAAGTATGGGATTCCTTACATGTTTGAAACATGCCATGTACCTAGTCCCTTGATCCTTTGACATCTAGTAATTCCCTGATCTGTTTGATTTTTGTTTCTGTAATGCAACAGCAAAATATATAGCTTGCGGCTGCGCATTCTTAAGTATATATCTATTGTTTTGAGAGACATGGCAGTGATGAAATCATTTCGACGATGGAATTCGGAAAACATGGCTTAGTATTTCTGGATATCTTCTCACAGTTCCAAGGACTTCAAATATGGAAGTTGATGGAGACCATTTGAACATTAAAGGGAAGAGCTTTCTCGGATCTATACAGTCGGGACGCGTTAATCTTTTTATGTTTCGTTAATCCGAGTTACGTGTTGCAACGGCTTATGTGTAGTGTAGGAACCAAATGTGTTAGATTTTCAATATGCAGATCAATGAACATGAAGGCGGTGGTAAGGCTTTCTTCAGGTCCCAACAAGGCTTGGTTTTAGCAAGTTTTGTATGTTTGATTGTAGTGATGTGTATATGTGGTTTAGGCAGTTTCTTCCATTTTTTTTTCTTCAAGAATAGCCTGTAAAGGCTTGGAATTTTGTTTGAAACCTTAGAAATAAAAGAATAACTTACAACAAGTTACATGGGGACAAAATTGGACAAAGGCATACATGAACTGTGTCGGTCGACTCGACCCGTTCTTGAGTTTTTAAGAGGTTGCAAGAACAATTTCGGGAATAAAAGTTATGGTCGAAATTAATCATTATAATAAAATCAATTATCATAATGTATGATTGAATCGATAATTTAAATATATTTAAATTTTAGATAAAATTGTTAAAATTTATAAATAATTTTCTATGAACTTAAAGAGAGTAGCATATATATAAATATATTTAAAGTTACAGATATTATTTTAAACATAATTATATTCAATGCAGTATAATTGTTTTTACCATTGAAAACGAGTTATATCATGTGTGCATAGAGCTACTTGTTTCAAGTTATTGGACACAAAGGTAAAAATGATAAATAGATAATTATTCCTATTTAATATTTGCAGGATAAGTTTAGAATTTATGTCACACAGTTAGATTTTCCTATACATTTATTTATATATTCATCTTCCCCACCAACTCAAATAAAATTGGTCAGTAAAAGGCACACCAAACTTTCTTTCTTTATTTAATTATGTTTTTTACCATTAAAATAAAACAGGTCAATAAAAGTCACACCAAATCATATACTCTATGAATTATTTAACCTTTTTATTTTTAATAAATTTAAATAAATTATTATTATTTATTTGTACTCGAATAAAGTTTTATTTTTATTAAATTATCGATACATGTTACCTGCTTTTTTTGGGTGCAATTTAAATGTGAGCTTTTTTTAATGATATTAAAAATTAGAACCTTTCATATAAATGGAAGGTCAAAAGAAGGAAAACTATTGTTTTTATATCATGCATAAATTACTTATACCTTCAAAAATGTTTAAACTAGAAAATAATATACCCTTAAATATATTTAAATTTATTCCTTTTAAATATTAAAAAATAATAACATCATTAACTAAATTAATATGTTATTCCATAAGAAAAAAGAAATAGAGTTTACCAGAGGTGGTTAATCTATGTTAAAATAAACTTTTTAGTTATCAAACTTTTAAATATTATAAAATAATTATTAAATTGATCAAATTATTATAAAATAATTTATAATATTATAAATAGTAATATTTTCTAATTTTCTAATACTAATATGTTTATAATCTTTATTGATCATAATCACATCTATAGTTTTTAAATAAAATAATTTTCTCTTTCACCATTTAGATCACTTAGTAAATTTTTCGTTCTAATGATATTAGATATATATAAAATTAAAAAGTTTTAGGCGATATAATATATACTAACTACTCAATGCCCATATTGTCTCGGTAGTTTCTGCACTTGAAACACAACTTTCATGCAAGATACAGAAACCAAAGTTCCTGCTTGAAGATTACCAGAAGAAAGAACTTATGGGAAATGCATTTGATTGCATCGCTCCTACGAATCAAAAGGAAACTTCAAGGTCCCGTGGCCGTCCCTCCCCCACCGCAACCCCCTTCAGTACACGTCCTTTCTTCAGCGGGCCGAGCTTGTTTTCTTCATCTTCTTCAAGGAACAAAAATACTAAGAATAACAAGGGATTATCATTGAGCTCCGACGGCGGCCATGACTCATCTTCTTCTATTATCCAAGAACAAGCTGTTGCGGCTGCTTTTCTGTTTCGACATCATCAGAGAAACGGTTCGCTTCCTAACTTCATCCGATCAACTTCCGCCGTTCATCCATCGCCGGGAAATTCCAAGAAGCAAGGTTGTTTGCCCAAGAGTTTGAGCGCTAGGCGACGTTCATTATCCGATCTTACGATTACGCCTCAACTTGTTAACAGCCATGATCAGGTTTCACTCATCAAACATTAACGCTTGCATTCGCTAATGTATACAAGGGTAGCCTACTTTGAGCACTTTAATTTCATTGTTGGCAATCAAATAAACTTTGGGCACTAGTTTATATACAAGGGTAGGCCTACTTTGAGCACTCTAATTTCATTGTTTCATTGTTGGCAATGAAATAAACTTTGGGCACTAGTTTCCTCTTCCGCATCATTGAGCTTATCGTCTGATTAAGTTACGAAGAAGTTTTTAATGAGACTCACTTTTCCTTTAAAAAGAAAAAAAAAACACTTGCTATTGTCTATATGATATATATATATATATATATATATATAAAATATCTTTGGAACTTAACTTTAGCAAAGCTAGTTGATGAAAAGTCTTGTTTCCAGGAACAGAAGATTGGTAGTGTTGAAAGCAAGCATTTTGTGCTTGTTCATGGAGGTGGTTTTGGAGCATGGTGTTGGTACAAAACAATGACACTTTTGGAAGAAGCTGGATTTAAAGTTGATGTTGTCGATTTGATTGGCTCTGGGGTTAGTTCTTTCGATACCAACAACAGTATTACCTCCTTGGCTCACTATGTTAAGCCACTCACTCACATCTTTGATAAGCTAGAAGATGGGAACAAGGTAAACTTCCTCTTTCAGAACTAACATATGCAGCAGATAGTATATTATTGTTATGTCATGTCTGCATATACGTCGGAACAGTGTCATCTAATTTATGGTTCGCTTTGATTCTCGGAATAGGTATGTAATCGCATTTTATTAGTTTCATCATTTGCGGTTCGTTAGGGTACTGATTGTGTTTGAAACGAATTTTGGAATCATAATTCTTTGGATGAGATAATTTGGTGACGACTGATTCTCTATATATATTAGAAAATGAACTTTTCTCCTTCCATTGCTTAATTAAAAGGAGAGTTGCGCAAAACTACAACTTAAATTTATCTTGTTCCCGATGCTAGTACATAGATTGTGGTGGTAGAATCTAGATGCTTCTTTCTCTTCCCTCATTATTGACTTTGTTTGCTTATGTTGTATTGGATTTTCGGTACGTCACTCTGGTCTTTACGTGGGTGATGGACGAATTAGGTCACACTTGTTACAGAGACGGCTATCAGATAGAGTAAAATCGTAACTGATAATTTGAGAAAATAAAAATAAAGATAAAAGAGACACAAAATTTACGTAGAAAACCCCTAAATAATATAGGGTAAAAACTACAGGCAACGGTAGAAGAATTTCACTATGAGAAAATAGGAATTACAACTTCTCTCTATCTACCAAGGAGAAAACAATGATAATTCTCTCTTGATAAAAAGAAGAAAACAACTCTCAAGAAACTCTCTAAATTCTCTCTAGTATTGGAAGAAAGTTAGAATGCTTTGGGATGGGTTTGAAGCTAAATGAGCTAGGGTATTTATAGTAGAAGCTTTAAGGACTAATCTTGAAAATACCATAAATTACAATGACTAAATGTGAGATTTTGCCATGTCACTTTTCAACCATTATTAGTGTCACCTATGAACCATTATTGTTGCCAACTTACAATGCATTATGAACTATTATTTTGCATTATACAACTATTATTAGTTGCATGACAACTAATAATCTCCCACTTGAAGATTTGATTGGAACAATCATATCTTCACACCATTCTTTCTACCTTGTATCATCATGTTGCTTACGTCTCTGACAGGCCACAAGAGGATCGACATCAGGTAAATTTATCAGCATTGATCGCTTTTGTCATGAAATCTGCTATGTTGTCTTTTGTATGGATCTTCAGCATATCTACCGTCCCTTCTTCCACCTTTTCACGAATGAAATGATATTGAACTCGTATGTGCTTTATCCTTGAATGAAATGTTGGATTCCTTGCTAGATGCAAGGCGTTTTGACTGTCACAAAACAGAGAGACATACTCTTGATTGTGCCCAAGCTCCTCCAATAGCAGCTTCAACCAAATTGTTTCTTTACTGGCTTATGTAGCTGCTACATATTCTGCTTCTATTGTGGATGTAGCCACAACTGAATGCAATTTTGAAACCCAGCTTACAGCTCCACCAGCAACTTTAAACACATATCCTGTAGTAGATTTGCTTTTATCCAAATCCCCTACATAGTCAAAATCAACATACCCATTAATAAGTAAATTTGATCCTCTGTAACATAATACAATATTTGAGGTCCCTTTGATGTATCTCAGGATCCTCTTTACTTGTATTCTAATGCTCTTTGCTTGGATTCGCCATGTACCGACTAACCACTCCCACTGCTTGTGCAATGTCTGGTCTTGTGTATATCATAGCGAACATTAAACTTCCCACTGCCGATGCATACGGTACTCGAGACATCTCCATCCTCTCTTCTTTACTGCTAGGACTCATACTGGAGGATAATATGAAGTTAATAGAAAGAGAGGTAGAAATTGGCTTACAATCTTGCATGTTGAATCGTGACAAGATCTTCTTTAAATAATTCTTTTGTGAAAGCCAAATCTTCCTATTACTTCTGTTTCGGTGAATTTGCATCCCTAGAATCTTGTTTGTTGATCCCAAGTCCTTCATTTCAAATTCCCTAGCCAGTTGTGCCTTTAAGTCTTCAATATGATCTTTGTTGGGTCCTGTAACCAACATGTCATCCACATACAACAGCAAAATAACAAAATCGTTATCACCAGACCTCTTGAAATAAGCACAAGGGTCTGCATTAAGTATGTTGTATCCAAGGCACATAATGAAGGAATCAAATCTCTTATACCAACACATCGACGCCTGCTTTAGACCGTACAGAGATTTGTTCAACCTACAAACCAAGTTCTTCATTTCTTTTTCTTCAAAACCTTCAGGCTGGAGCATGTAAATCTCTTCTTCAAGATTTCCATGAAGAAAAGCTGTTTTAACATCTAGCTGCTCTAGATGTAAGTTCAATGTAGAACACATTGCCAAAACTACTCGAACTGTTGTTAGTCGAACCACAGGAGAAAAGATTTCATTAAAATCAATACCTTCTTTTTGAGCATATCCTTTGACCACCAGTCTTGCACGATACCTCTTAACTTGATCGTCAACATTTCGCTTGATTTTGAAGACCTATTTGTTACCAATTGGCTTCCTTCCTTGTGGTAGTGGCACAAGGTCCCATATATTATTTTTATGAAGGGCTTCAATTTCCTCTTGCATCGCCATCATCCATAGTGAAGCATCTGAGCTGTTTATTGCCTCCTGGTATGTTGATGGCTCACCGTCCTCTGTTAAAAGGTAGTATGCAATATTATCTTCTATAACATAATCTGAGTGCCAATTGGGACGTCTTCTCACACGATCTGATTGACGAGTTGTTGGAACTTCATAACTCTCTGGTTCTTGTTCATCATGTGCTGGTTCTGCTTCAGAAGAATCTCCTTGTTCAAACTCCTTTTCCACATATATCTGTGTAGTCTCTGACTTTTCAGCGCTATCATCGTCTTCTTTTCTTTGTAGCTTATCTTCTACAAAGATAACATCCCTGCTAATGATCACTTTGCGGGCAGTGGGATCCCACAAGCGATACCCCCTTACTCCATCAGCATACCCCAAGAATTTGCATTTCCTGGATTTTGGATCCAACTTTGAAATTTCTTGGGCGTTGTACATCACGTACACAATACTTCTAAATACATGGAGGTTTGAATAATAAGTTGGTTTACCAGTCCACATATCCATTGGTGTCTTCAGCTCTATTGCAGTTGATGGAGCTCGATTCACCAAATAACAGGCGGTATTGACAGCTTCTTCCCAGAATGATTTTTTTAGGCATGCATCCCTCAACATTGCTCTTGTTCTTTCTAACAAGGTTCTGTTCATCCGCCTTACCATTTCATTTTATTGAGGAGTGTTTGCCACTGTGAACTGTCTTTTGATGCCTTCTTTCCTACAAAAGTCATCAAATTCTTCACTTGTGTATTCTTCTCCATTATCTGTTCTGAAACACTTGATCTTATTTCTAGAATCAAGTTCCACCCGTGCCTTGAAGTTTTTGAAAGTTGAAAACACGTCTGACTTCTTCTTAATAGGGTACACCCAACATCTCCTGTAGTAGTCATCAATAAATGAGACAAAGTATTTTGCTCCGCCTATGGATGTAACTGGTGCTTGCAATACATCAGAGTGAACCAATTCTAGAACACTTTTGGCTCTAGAATTTGACGTGTTGAATTTCAACTGGTGCTGCTTACTTGTTATGCAATGCTCACACAAAGGAAGTGATACCTTTGTTAAGTCTGGAAGTAGCTTTTTCTCCACAAGGACTTTAATTCCTTGTTCTGACATGTGTCCAAGTTTCTGATGCCATAGCATTGTAAAATCTGAACTACATGAGGCAACAGAGGCTTCTGCTTCTAGCAAAGTTCTCCCTTCAGTATGTACAAGTTTGCAGCTATCTTTTCGCCTTTCAGCACCACAAGCGCTCCACGGAACACCTTCATGATTCATTTCCATGTTTCAATCTTACTTGAATTATTATCCAACAATCCATAGGATAATAAATTTTTCTTCAGGACTTTCACGTGTCGCACATCTCGAACAACTTTAATTGTTGCATCATACATCTTCAATTTGATGGTTTCCACGCCAATGATCTCTAAGGCATGATCATTGCAACTATACACATATCCTCCTGAGACAGGTTCATAATGATGGAACCATTCTCTTCTTGAGGTCATGTGATATGTTGCTCCCGAATCAATGAGCCATATGTTTGCATATCTCTTTCTACCTTCCACGGTGGTTGACGCTTCATAGCATAGAGCATCTCCATCATATGAAGTGTTTGCAGTATTGCCTTGTGGATTGGAGTTTTTATTTAGACACTACAGCAAAATCGGCTTTTTGCGGCGTTTTTTTTTACATATAACGGCATTTTTAAGCGCCGCTAAAAACACATGCGGCGTTATGACAAACGTCGCAAAAAGCGCCGCTGAAAATAGTGTCGCTAAAGTTCGCGGCGTTTGTTAACGAAAAACGCCGCAATAGGTGACGATATATAGCGGCGTTTGTTGAAAAAACGCCGCAATAGGTGTTGCTATTTAGCGGCGTTTGTCTTAAAAACGCCGCAATAGGTGTTGTCGTTTAGCGGTGTTTTTCCCCCAAACGCCGCAGTAGGTATCGTTGTTTAGCGGCGTTTTTCCCAAAAATGCCGCAATAGGTGTTGTTGTTTAGCGGTGTTTTTCAAACAAGCGCCGCAATAAGCGTTGAGATTTAGCGGCGTTTTTATCGAAAACACCGCTACATGTTATGATATTTAGCGGCGTTTGTGGTAAAAAAATGCCGCTAATAACTATGTATATAGTGGCGTTTTCTTCACAAAACGCCGCAAAAGAACCTGACTTCTGGTAACTTTTATTTACAAACACCGCTATGGTTATCTGATTTCGCATATATCATTTTCTATTTTATATTACGTAAATTTAATATTCTATAGCATTATCTAATAACAATAAACTTAAAATTTAATTACGACACAAATTATGTAGAAAAATAAATCAAAATTTATAAAATAAAATTAAAATGTAACATGGTTCAACATTGGTCACTAGAATATCATTGAAAGCTCAACTGACAAAAAAAGAAGGAAAATATGCATGT